GATGTGGCTATTAAAGAGATCTGAGTAGAAGTCATGAATAAGCTTCTTCATTGCCCTTCTGGAAGATGTGATAGATCCATCAGGACGGCGGAGGGCAGTCATCTTGGTCCTGTAGTTGGTGAAGGACAGGCAGGCATTACAAATTCTTTTCTCAGCTTCTGCCACATCTACCAGCACTGCTGCTCTTCTGTCTTTGAGGTCTTCCTTGATTGCTTCTCTGCACTGTTTTTGAGTTCAAATGTTCACTTGTGGTTGCCTGAGGCATATGTCAAGTCAAGTTGGTGAATAAGCTCAAGGGTGTTAGAAGACAGGCCTTTTTTTGTGGTTATCTCTCTCTTGGCATTCCTCACACAATCATGGAGGTGGTGAACTAGTCGATCATATTCCTCATTAATGTTGTCAATGACGGCATCTTCCCATGTTGCCGCAACAGAGCCAAAGAGCTCCCAGTTGGTGACCGTTCCGGGAGTTCTCTTCTTAAACTTTGCAGCCCTTTTTTCCCGCTCTGTGAAGTAGAATTTTGCACGAAGGAGACGGTGGTCCGATCCCATTTGGAATTTTGGGATAACAGCAATATCAGTCATGCAAAACTGTCGATTGAATATGATGTGGTCAATTTTGTTGTGGAACCGTCCACCAGGAATCTTCCATGTCCAAAGTTTAGATTCGGCCTTCTGGAACTGTGAGTTACCATGGATGGTCTTGGTCAACATGATGAACTCAGACAGTCTGTCACCCTGTTCGTTCCATTCTAGGCCATGGGTCCTGATGTGGAGTTTTTCAGCTGATCTTCTCAGTCCAATCTTGGCATCAAAATCACTCACAATGATCTTGTAAAAGTTGTGGTCTTCTTTATAGAACCGTAAAACTTCCCAATTTCTCTTTCAACATAATTGGATGTTGGTGCGTAGACAACAAAGATAGAAACTGCTGGCAGTGATCCACATCTATTCAAGTGTAATCGTCCAATTTAGGTTGTTAGGCATTCGAATGAATCAATACTCATGGCTAAGTTCATGTTGGCAAGGACACCAACACCATCAATGCCTCTTTTGTCACATTCCATGGGACAATTCTCCAGTGTCGAAAACGTGATGTGATTGATGCCTTCTTGTCTCGCTCAGACCAATGATGTCATACTTTGTCTTGATCTTGTATCATCGCGCTTGTACCATCAGGTTCTTGATGGATGTATCAGATGCCAGTGTACGTGCATTGAAAGTATAGACAGTCATTTTTGTCTTTCTTTGTTTTGGCAGCCTAGTTCGGCCTTGAGATTTTATCAGTCTCTTCTTCCTCATCCTTCTCAATGCTGCTGTATTCAGGGTCAGGGGAATGAGATCAATTTTATTTACTGGATTTGGCATATCAAACACACCACGGATAGCTTGCCAGGCTCTGCCGTGTGGGTGGGATATTCTTGGTAGCCTGAAAACACAAACTTTACAGGTGTTCAATTTATAATTCAGGCATATGTGCTAGTATAATACTCTCAGTAGCCTGTCGGGTTCTCTGAGAGCGAGAATTAGAGAATAAGAAGTCGCGCAGCCACAAATACAGCCATGTGCTTCCGGGAGCTTGGTGTTATAATCTCTGGATCATGGCTGTTGTTGGGGGTACACGGCAGTTGGTGGGTGTAACTGTCTAGCTACTGGAAGGCCTAGTCCCGAACCGTAGGGATATTCGATGAATATAACTGACAGAACTCAGGGCCACCATCTACACCAGCACTGTTAGGAGCCATTCTGCACAGGGAATCAAACTGATTGTTGTGTACATCCAAAGATGGTATTACAACTATGTGAAATACCTCGTTCACCCTCTCCATTTGGGGTGGGGTTAGGAAGTTTATATATTCTATGCATAATTTTTTGTTCTTGTTTCAGGGCCAAGTGCTTGAGTGATCATATGTAATGTTGGGGATCAAATCTCGTTAGCCCAGTGCATAGTAAGCATGTTATTTACTGTATTCTATTTCTAGCTCTCCCTGCTTTCATCTTAAAATACCATAATGATAAAATATCTATATTTAATGTATACAGAAGGAAAGTGGTGACAAAGAGACATCTTTAATGTAGGTCCTAAATTATAACAGCATAAAGAGTGATTCACAACAACTCAGATCGAATCTTCAGTGGATCTAGTACAATTCCTCAAAGAAAGGGTTTACACAAAGCTATAGACCAGAATACATGCATAGAGTTAGAAATACAATTTATAACCACCTTTATTCAGTTTATCATAAATCAAGATAACAAAATACACATATATAAATAATTATTAGAAAATTTTCCAACTTATTTCCAAGTTTAAATCTTTATCTCAGCAATCTTTAAGTGATCATGTTATTTTCTTATTTCTCATGTTTTAGTTTTTTCCATATAACTATTTATGTGTGTATTTATCTATCTGTGAACTTTTCATTTCCAACTCCCACCTCTATAGTATACCATAAATTTGTCACTGAATAAACTTTATTTTATATACCAGAATAAAGCAAAAGTGGAAACATTTCTTGTTTTTTCTTTTTTACCATGAATGCAAACATTGTTAATGTACTGGTGATAGTGAATTAAGATTATGACACCTTATTCCTCATGTACCACAATGACATTCTGAAATAGTAACTACAGGTTTTTCTCAGTTTCCTTACATCCATCACTTATTCCACACCTATTAACACCACCCCTTGTACTATCACGGTCACGGTCGTTCCTCCCATTGTTCATCGATTTGCTCGAGTGGGCACAGTAATGTCTCCATTTTGAGACTTGTTACTGTGTTTGGCATATTTGAATACATCATGGGTAGCTTTCCAGGCTTCGCCGTGCAGGAGAGATACTCTCGGTAGCTTGCCAAGCTCTCCAAGAGGGGCGGAGGAATAGAACTCGGGACGGCCATGTTGGCTGTGTGCAAGGCAAATGCCTTACCCACTGTGCTATCGCTCCAGCCCCCCTTGTACTATACACCAGATAAACTAAGTCTACAGAAATAGTGGCTAAATTCATTAAAACCATTTCAGAAATAATTATCTTGAAACAGTAGCTATTATAAAAAGAGCCAGCCTTTCCTCCCCTGCCCCAATGAGACCCTGAGTGACCACCCACAAACTGGCCCTCTGGCTACTCAACAAGCTGCTTCAGCCATGATCCCAGAGACTCAGAAACAAATCTCACAACCCAGAGGTTTTTGGAAGAAATCCCTCCAGATTTAATTATTAAGATTCAGAATTTCAAAATTGACAACAGCTTCTGCGGCCGCGCAACATCATATGCTATTCATAATCAGCAATAGAAAATAAATGGTCTAATGTTGCCTTTTTGGCAGATCTGAGTGTTGGACTAAAATCCCAAATAATAATGGTGGGTCTGGTGTCGAAATATTGAATGTAATCAAAGTAGAGAGAGAGTGGGTGCAAATTGTCTGCCACACAGGTGGGGAAGATTGTGGGATGGGGGATATACTGGGGTTTTTGGTGGTGGAAGGTGTGTACTGGTGAAGTGACAGGTGTTTTATCATTGTATGACCGAGACTTAAACTCAAAAGCTTTGCAACTGCACTCACAGTGATTTAATAAATAAATTTATTTAAAAAAAGACAATGCATGACAACATAAAGATTTGTACTTCAGTTCTACTGGGAGGTAGATGAAAGTTATCTTATTGTTAATTTTATTGTACTCATAAAAGCCCATGGAATAAAATGTATTTTTAAGTGTGCTTGGTTGATTGATTTGGGGTCCACACCGGCAGTGCTCAGGGTTTACTCCTAACTTTAGCTCAGGAATCACTGCTGAGAGTGCTTGGGGAACCACGTGCTGTATCTGGGATTAAATCAGGGTCAGCTATATGCAAGGCAAGTGCCTTTCCTCTTGGACTATATCTTTGGCCCCAAACAGCTTAATTATTAAGGTAATTAATTCCTTTAGTATTTTTGCTAAATTCTTGGAAAGAAATCTTGACTTATTCCTGTCTCTCATGTACCTCTTCCATTCATCCCATAAGCTAATAATATTATCAGTTCTAATTTGAAACTATCACTCATTCACGTACATTCAAGATACATGAAAATATATACTGGGATGTGATTCTTCTAATCAAAATGACTGTAAATACTCGAGTCCATGCTCTTGTCTAGATTGTTACAACAACCTCCTTGTTGTTCTTACTGCTCATGTTCTTCTTTACAATATAATTACAGCATAAAATACACCCGATCATGTTGAATCCAATGTTAAAAATTATCACTATTCTCCCATATAATTTGGAATAAAATCTGGTGTTTTCAAACACTTTTAAAGTCTTTTTTTGGGTCATTTGTTACAGCTTCTTGCTACTCCTTATACAATGTGGGCATGCCCAAAAGTATCCCCACATTCAATTTAGCCTCAATACTGTGAATTTCCATAGACTTCCTTTTGTTAATTCACTTATTTTAGGATTGTCCCCTGCAATTCCATGAGAGTATGAATCTTGTCTGCTTTGATCATAGTTATGTTTCCTTAGATGAAAACATTGTGTGACAAATAGCAGATTCTAAAAAATATTAAATAAGTAATTTAATAAAATGGCACTGTAAAAAAATTTATTTCAAAATAAAATCCTAGTGAGTCAAGTCTGTTTACTACTCGCTTTATAAAATTTTAAATAAAATCGATATAAAAATTAGCAATGATGTTAGTATATTGTCAAATAGAGATAGATTAGAACAAGTTGATACATATGAACAGAATCTTTAGATATGAATGCATGTATGGTATAGAACCTAGGATACCTAGTCACGAGAATTGCATTTTCATATTAGAAACTGTTCCCTTAATGCTTAGGCAGACATAGCCAGCTGCAGTTAACCCCACAGCTAAAATGTCGCATAGTTACAATGAACTGACATACATATAGACCACTCAGTAAGATCAGGGATGGTGTATAAAGAATAACTAAGTGAGAAATGGCTAAAATATTATTCACAAAATATTTTACCTCATGACTATTAAAACCAACCTGAATAAGAATTGCAGCATTTTCTTTCTGTTCTTGTAAATTCTCAATATTATCTTTTCCTTTCATTTTTAAAATAATGCGATTTTTGATGTAGGAATCTGGCCTTGATGTCAGTTTACGTTCAATGTAACCACGCCAATATGCCTGGATTACCATAGCTGCCATACTACAAAGGAGAGAAAATAAAACTTTTGTTTTCACAAACACAGTTGCAGATTATGAGGTTCTCTTAAATTATGTAAGTACAAAATATGTTATTTATTAAAAATCAAAACCTCTGCTTATAGTCATAGAAGTAAAAAACCAGCATGGAGCCTTCAAATACAAATGAAAGGAATAGACTAATAAACAACAAGGGATATAAATCAAGGGTTTTTTCTTCCTAAAGAAGGAAGAAATAATATCAAGATTCTGTATGATATTGGAAATGTCAACATAGTAGAATGGAGCAATGATGATACAAAAGAGACACATCTTAAGTGGGAGTCAAGATGAGTTGGCAAGAGAAGATGGGATCTTGTGTAGACCGAACGGAGCACCCCTGGAGAGAAGGAACGACTCTCACTATCATCACTGTAATATCAGTCTATCAGGTCTATCAGGTCTTTGATAGTCTTGCTTTTCCTCTGGTTCCCAGACAAATAATCAAAAAAACACTTCTATATAATATACCATTTCCCTGGTCTATAGCTATTGTCCAATTTTAGGCTCTAAAAAATCATATGCTCCTTTTTTTCTTTTTTACATGTTTTCCCTTTTTTTCCCCTTGGGGTTCCCAGAAATATATCAAGTTTGGGTAACAATATGTAATTATTGTAAGTATGTTTAAAAAGTCTGCAATTATTAGTATTGTTAATGGATGTTGTGTTTCCCATGCATATTTTTCAGGAATATTATCAAAATATAGCAATAAAGTGCAGATTTTTCTATTTTATTCTTGATTCATACTTTTGAGTTTAAAAGGCATACAAAAGTGATCCTTATGTATATTTACATATACATAGATATCTTAATATGTAAGTATGCATGAATATATACATATATATGTATTCCTTCCCTAATGTTCCATTGAATGCTTTTATTAAATTAATAATTGCCAAAGTCAGTGAAGTTTTCTCTGTCTTCATATTAATACATTTAAATTAAAGTATAGTTAAATGATAGACTGCCTGACACAACCACACATTTTTTTCACAGCAATATGTTTTGGGTAAATTAGAAAGAAATGGTACAATAATTTAAAAATTTTATTAATATAATGTTACTGCTGGTGTTACCATCCTCATCATTAGAACTTTTACTAACACCTTTAGAAGCCCATATTATTTTTATATAAAAGTAAAATAAAAATTAGTTGCAAAGACTTCTGACATAAGTATATCCAAAAGAAAAAAAGCATTCTAATGGAAGATAAAGGAGCTAACACAGAGTTCTGATAGTGAAAAGATCTTGCTAAATTTTCTCCAGATTATTTATAACCTTTGTCAAATCACATTTCCCTGATTTCTTTTTCTTCTAACTTAATATAAAAATGTTCAAGCTTAACTATTTCTTCAGATCTTCATTTCCTGGAAGGCTCAGAGGTAAGAAAAAATACTTTCATATGCTGTTCTCTTATTGATCTGTCAATTTTCACAGGTGTCCCAGCTGATACATTAGAAACATTGAACCATACTTTCAATGGATCCTTTCAATATTTTTGCTTGCTTAAAAAGCATAAGCAATAGATCAAATGGATAAACTAGAGATCAGAGGGATTGGAGAGATATTATAGAGATTAAGGGGTATGTCTTTCAGGCTGTCAACCCTGGTTTGATCTTGACATCACATGGTGATTAGAGCACCGCTGGTGCACTCCTAGAGACCTCTAAGTACTCCCCAAATACTGCTCTGGAGGCCCTAACCACTGGTTGGCTGAGAATAACAGGAAAGTATTCCCACGTGTCTAGTGTACTACTTGCAAACTTCCCAATTCCAATTCCACACCTCACTCCCAAATAAGACTACAATTCATAAATGTTAAAGCCACTTTTAATATTTTTCAAAAACTTACATTAGTAAGCACATGTTCATTTTCAGCACATCACACTAGTATTTTGCTCTAGAAATCACTAAGCACTGCTCTGATCAGTGATAGCTGAAATGCCTTGTATGCAATAGGGATTCAACATGCATTTGCTAAAATAAGAGGCAGAATTTCTAAGAAAATACAAAAAAAGGTGGAAGACAACACACTTTCAGTAGCAGGCTCTGCTAGACCTAATTTAAAGGGGGAAAGAGGTTTCAACACTGAGTGAAAAGTATGCTCCAGGTATCATCTACTCAGTTGTCTCTTTTTCTTTTTGCAAAGGCAGGGACAGTGTGGGTGGGGGTTCCTAAGTACCTCCTCTGAGTGGCCACATTTTGGGAGACTGTTCTTCCTCTCTCTGCTATCCTGTGCCCCCTCACAAAAAAAAAAAAACTGAAAACATAATTAGGGTATCAGCATAAAAGATTAACATAGATCCCAACCCTTTATTAAATCATTTGGTAACATGATGAAGGCTTTTAACCAGAATAAAAAAGAAAAGTGGCACCTATAAAATAAAAAAAAAACAGACCTATATCTTACATTTTGTCATGATATCCAATATTTTGGCAGTCACTTAGTGGAGAATTTGTCATTACTGTTTCCATGGAGGGAAGTCTTTTGGTGGGGACACTGCTTCTGTTGCTGTCCTCAGCTTCTTGATGGATTGTTTCTTGACGTCTCCCTTTCCTACCTTCAAAGCAAGAGGAGGTGTCTAATGGAAAATGGACAGAATCAGAACCCTTCCTTTTCTCAGCAACATCTGGTGCTTCTGGGCTGTGTTTTCTCACATAGTTTGAGTTAAGGTCTCTCCTCTGCAGCACTGTATCACTATTTTTAGGCAATACATGTTTTTGCTGGGCTTCTAGCTCTTCTCTCATGTTGATAGTTTCATCACCTTGCTCATGTGCAAATCGATGCTCATTACTTAGTGTCATCATCTTCGTAAAATAAAGGCAAAGACTTTCTGCAGCATCCAAAGTGAATATATTTCTGACCGAATAAATAATGAGGGCATTTATAGTAAGAATTAATCCAGATAATTATAAAATTGTATACATTTACCGATATTTTCATGAACATTAAACTTTACTCAATTTTAACAACTGCATTATAAACAACTTTGTAAATCAGTGTTTAAACTAAAAAAATAGAAAAATTGTTTCTATTTATATAAAATTGATCTTGTTCTAGAAAATATGTAAATATTTGCTTAATTAATTTAGATATGTAAATCTAGAAAACTATGGAAGTTTTATAACCAATTTATTATAGGTATTTTTGATAGACATGAATGAGAAAAATGCATGCTTTTTTCACCATGAATATGAGAGATCATGGCAGCCTAAATTTAGAGATGTTATTTATGAAACAAAGATTAAAGTACTTTTGACATCAACTCTTGCCATGTGAAATATTTGTACTGGACTTTTAAACAAAGAACTTACATCATGGGAAAGTTTTTAGTCCCATTTTTCTCCGGAGAAAAAGATCCATTGCAAAGAAAATTCAATGCTTTAATACACAGATGCTTGTGATTCTTTAGAATAAATGCTGGTTAATATCATACTGAAGTTATGATTTGTTAAATTAATCAAATATTGTATGCTTTCTATATTTGAGCCATTCAATAATAATATGAAAGACTTTGCACATGTGAATCATATACTTGACTACATTTATTTTTCTTTATGTTTTGTTATTTCTAATTTTACTTTAACTTTATATTTTCTAAATAAATTTAATATACAGACAGGGTATCTTAATTATTATGTGAAACTATGCAGAATGTAGAAAATATAAAATTATTTAACTAAATCAAATAAAATAATTACTTTCTAAGGAGAAGGATTATAGTTTTAATGCTTAGCACAACAATAATTAGCCCTCTAATATATTTCAGATACGTTATATTTCATTTACATTAGTGGAAAATCATTCAGAAAAGGTTTAATTTAATATTAAGGAATGTCACAATACTAACCTCACAATGTTTGAGGTTAGAAGCTGAATCTATAATCATTTATGACTAAACATACCAGTGTAGTTTATTTTTCATTTAATTTTAATGAAACAATTTGTAATGATAATACACTGTCCAAAGAAATTGTGAAATCTAAATTTCAACATAGAGGATGTGGTCAATGTAAACTTTTAGGGCTGGAGAGATAGCACAATGGTTCGGACCCTTGCCTTTCATTTAGCCAGTGGTTTCATTCTCAGCACCATGTGTCTCCCTAAGTATTATCAAATGTAGCACTGAGGTCCCTGAGCACCATCGAGGTGGTCCGGGTAATGTCTAGCAACACAATTCTGAGTAGCACCTCATCTTTGAAGTCCCACATAGAACCTTCCCCAATAGAATCACAGAAAGTAACCCCAGAACCCTGAGCATTGCTGTAGGTCACCAAATCCTAAGAGTATTCTTCATATTAAAACAATATACACTAATACATATATTAAGGAAACTTAAATTTGCCAAAAGAGAGTTGTAAATTACCCGAGTATTTATTACAATTAAATAATTATAGCAACTGAAACTATTTCAAAGTTTCAATATGTGTTTATAAGATGAATTACTATTAAAATTATTTTGATAGGAAAAACCAACCCATGGAATTTTATGGACAGAATTATGAATGCTAATTTAGTTTAGATATTTGGAAGCATATATTAGCATTCCAGTTATACATATAAGATCATAATTAAAAATGTAATCATTTTCCTTTTCAGTTGAAATTTCTAATGCAACACAAATTTTACAATAGTTATGGAAAGGTCCATTTTCATTTTGAATTAAAATTTTGGATGGTAATACCTCTAACCTCAAAAGTTCTATCACTGTTATTTTTTATTTTCATTCTGAATTATAATTTTTGGTGTATAATACAAAGTTCCATTAATTTTGTTTCTAATTTAACTCCTGTAATAGCTTAATATATAAATTAAACATACGTACAATCTGATACCTTATGTATAATAAATATATCTATTAAAAACTTGCCTTGTTGTATCATGCTAAGTGAAATGAGTCAAAAAGAGAGGGGCAGACATAGAAAGATCATACTCATCTGTGGAATATAAAGTAACAGAATGGGAGACTAGCACCCAAGAATAGTAGAAATAAGTACCGAGAGGTTTGCTCCATGGCTTGGAAACTGGCCTCAGATGCTGGAGGAAAAGGCAGCTCAGATAGAGAAGGGAACACCAGGTAAAGTGTGTTTGGAGAACCCACTTGGAATGGGAGATATGCGCTGAAAGTAGACTATAGATCACGATGGCCACTCAGTATCTCTATTGCAAACCACAGCATCCAAAAGGAGAGAAAGAACAAAAGGGAATGCCCTGCCACAGAGGAGAGGTAGGGTGAAGGGGGTGGGGTTGGGGGTGGGATACTGGGATCATCCGTGGTGGAGAACGGGCACTGGTGGAAGGATGGGTACTCGAGCATTGTATGACTGAAACACAAGAATGAAAGTTTGTAAGTCTGTAACTGTACCTCATGGTGATTCACTAATAGAAAACTAAAAAATGAAAAAAAAATACTTGCCTTGCTCCAAAGTAACTGTTTATTCATTTAATTTTCTATTATATCTAATGCTGTACTATTTGAGTAAAGTATAATATATGGAGAAGTATTATGGTCTTATGGTCATTGGTGAAATAAATTTATAACCATCTACATGAATGACTGTATCTTTACAGGATGCAATCTTTATTTTCATTTATTTTAAAATGTATATTTCAAATTGCATTCATTACACACGCTAATATATTTTGAATAATAAGAATTAAAGTCTAGTTTTCTAAAGGTGAATATCCCTGAAACATACTGCTTTAAAGTCCAAAACAGTATGGTTATATTAATCAGATTATTTTAAGTAATATGCATTACTTCTTTTAGAAATGACAAGGAATATATAATACTCTTACCTTTTTCCAGTAATATACTTTTCGACCAATAATTTTAATTCTCTAATCTGGGACTGGCTAAATTCCAGCAGACAGCGAAATTCTGGTTGGTAGGATTCTTCCATGTGGTTTTCTAAATAAGAGTTTAACATTTCACCATTGAGGATTCTTAGAGCAGGTAAGATCTTAAGTAAAAAATTCCTATTGAAAACAGGAAAAATGCAATAATTTTGAAAAGAGTTTAAAACTAAAGTAAATTTCAGTTACATTCTGATTAAATGACAACTCAGAGAACTGAGAAAATGCAGATATGTAGAGAAAGCAATACTGTAAAATTTGTTTTAAATTTTATTTGTTATAAAACTGTATGTTTTGTTTGTTCAGTTTGGGAATCAAATCCAGTGGTATTTGTGGCTTACTTCTGACTCTGTGCGAGAGAACACACCTTGTAGTATTTGGGGACTATGTGTGGTGCTGGAGAACAGAAAGCAAGTGCCTTAATACCTGTGCTATCTTTCCAGCCTTTAACATTTTATATTCATGTTTCTCATGCATAAATATTTGTTTTCCACTTAAATGCAAATGGAAAATTTAAGCAGTTAGAAACTTGAGAATGGTAGAAAAAAGGCTGTATTTATGGTAATCACATGATAATCAGATAACAAAAAGCTGTACTTATAAATCAGCTGTACTTTTTTTTTTTTTTTGCTTTTTTGGGTCACACCCAGCGATGCACAGGGCTTACTTCTGGCTCATGCACTCAGGGATTACTCCTGGTGGTGCTCGAGGGACCATATGGGATGCTGGGAATCAAACCCCGTTTGGCCGGGCATGGAAGGCAAATGACCTACCACCCCAGATGAACTTTTTTAAAACAAGGTTATTAAAGTACCATTACTGAACGCTGTTGTTTACTTCAGAAATAGATTGGAACTCTGATTGTTTCATAGTAAAATATATTGAGAAAAGAGGTGAAGTAAAATATATTGAAAATAATAGGTGAGGTTTACCATATTTTTCATGACGTAGATATCTAAAATTACGATAAATCTTAAAATCCTAAAATCTTGCTAAGGATCAAACTAATAAATATTTAATAAAAATGGAAATCTCTATCAATTTAAATGATTATTGTGAAATAAAATGGCGTGGCAAAAACTTTTTAGTGGACCTAGCCATTTAAGAAACATACCTAGTCTTTCTACAAATATATCATGGGGGAGAGGGCTTTTTTTTTTTTTCAGAAGACCACTTTTCAAAGGTAATAATGTACTTTTTGAAACAATAAAACTTCATGGTCAAAAACCTGTTATGAAGAAAACTATATTATTTTGATAAAAGATAACAAGATCAAATAAATGGAAAGATATTTTTGTGTACCTTTATATTACCTTTATATTAAAGTGTCTGGGATGGGGGTGGAATCAGCACATCATTCTTGCCCTGCCGAGACCACGAATTGCCCCCCATGAGTGGCTCTCTGGCATGGCCATGGCCCCAGAGGCACACAGACCTAATTCGGAACCCAGTGGCTTTTGGCAGAGATGTGAATGGACTGTACATTAAGCTATGGCGCCATGCCCCACCCCCCAGAGGGAAAGGGTGTCTTTATCTTCCACCCACCCCCCCCAGCTGGCGGCATGGTGACCACTGCCTCAGAGCTTATTGGACAACCAGGTATAAGCCGACAGTGACGGGGCAACTGTGGCCTCATGGGATGGGGGGTGGAACTGGCACATCCTTCTTGCCCTGCTGAGACCACAAGTTGCCCCCCATGAGCGGCTCTCCAGCATGGCCATGGCCCCAGAGGCTCACAGACCAATCTTGGAACTATGCAGCTTTTTGCAGAAATTCCTCCATACTTAATTAGTAAACTATCAGAAATCCAAATCAGAAAACATCACACGGTCCTCATAACCAGCAAGAGAAAACAAATATTTCACGATGGCTTTTCAGCAGGTTTGATTGTTGGGAGAAAATTCCAAATAACAAGGATGCATCTTTTTTTGAAATAATGAATGTAATCAAAGTAGAGAGAGAGTTAAGTGGAAATCATCTGCTTCACAGGCATGGGGAGTCATGGGATTGGATAGGAGGTATATTGGGGTTCTTGGTGGGGGACAATATGCACTGGTGAAGGGATGGGTGATTGGTCATTGTATGACCGAGTCTTAAACCTGAAAGCTTTGTAACTGTTCTTATGGTGATTCAATAAATAAATTTTTAAAAAAATAATAAAATGAAAAAAAGTCTCTAAACTGTTTACTTTAATTAAAATACTTTAAATTAACTTTGTATATAAAATTTTTGTTTTTCTGCCTCTTCTAGACTACAATATACATTTAAAACTGTTGATTTTTATAATAAATATACAAATTAAACTATTTAATTTTAAAATATATTTTTCCTTCTATTAAGGAAAATTTCTCATATCTATATGTTATTAGTGCATGTAGTGCCCTTAAGTTCAAATGCCACTTTATGAGTCTATAATGAATATAGTAGAAAGTTCTGTCTCAAGTTGATTCATGCTGGAAATGAAGTATAAGAATATTGTGAGATTTCACATTAGTTTTTTCAGCTGGGTTCATCCTAGCCAAGAGCTGAATCAATATTTCATTTAGTGAAAATTTCCTGTGAATATTCTGTCACTTAAGAAGCTCTATTAATCATCAATGAATGAAACACACTCCCAAAGGAGATTCTTAACTGAATCTGCAGATTAAGGTTTTAAAAGAGATTTTTTTTTTTCAGTGCATCAGTTTTGTCCATGTTATCACTGGCTAGACATGAAAGTAAGAAGCCAATTGGGAAATTCTATAACTAATCCCTCTTTTGGTACCAAGGGGTTATATAAAGTTCATTGGATCTCACTATTAAAGTTAAATCTTTCATTAATAAATTCTATTTGACAGTTTACTAGATTTTAAAGCCTCTGCACTGTAGCACTGTAGCACTGTCCTCCCATTGTTCATTGATTTGGTCGAACAGGAACCAGTAACGTCTCTATTGCAAGACTTGTTATTACTGTTTCTGGCATATCAAATACGCCACGGGGAGCTTGCCAGGTTCTGCTGCGCAGGTGGGATACTCTTGATGGCTTGCCGGGCTCTCAGAGAGGCACAAAGGAATCAAACCCAGGTCAGCCACGTGCAAGGCAAACACCCTACCTGTTGTGCTATTGCTCCAGCCCTAGATAAATGAATCCTTTAAAATCATAAAAATTCTATTTAGGTTAACAGATAGAAGTAAAATTTGACAGGCAAAAATTTTAAAATTGATGTAACTAGTCTAGAATTTATTCAAACATAACATAAATTCTAATATCTAAATAATTAAGTAATAAATATACAGCCTAAGTTATTTCCATGATATAATTGTTTTCTTTAAAACTATTAAGTATATATGTACCTATATATAATTAACATGATAATATCTCAATATACACCTTTATATATTTGCAACAGATTCATATTAATAAATTTCTCTAAAACTATATTTTGGTCATAAAATAAGTGTGTATTTTCCATACAGACAAAATAATAAATAAACCAAAGATTATTAAAGACCTGGGCTTACTTTTAGTTGTGATAAGTAACATAATAGCTGTTCTGACAGACATTGGTTCTGCATCAGTAAGAGAATTCACATTGTGTTTGCCTAACACCTCATTGAAAAATAGGCTCTAATGAACTTTCTCTGAATAATAAGCTCATTACTTAATTTTGTTACCATAGACTTGTTATGTAATTGGGAAAGTAAAGGCACTTATCTAAAAACAAATCACCAGATGTTTTCACCATTAAAAAAAATCACTTTCTGAGATGAACTTTTTTTGTATAATATTGAACTATTCTTTTTGTAGGGACACTTGATTCCAAGACCTGGCTCATAGAAGTGAACACTCAATCCTTGGACATAGCACTGTAGCACTGTCCTTCATTGTTCATCCATTTGCTCGAGTGGGCACCAGTAATGTCTCCATTGTGAGACTTGTTGATACTATTTTTGGCATATCGAATATGTCGCGGGTAGCTTGCAAGGCTCTGCTGTGTGGGCGGGATACTCTTGGTAGCTTGCTGGGCTCTCTGACATGGGGGGAGGAATCGAACCCGAGTCAGCTACGTGCAAGTCAAACGCCCTACCCACTGCTTCAGCCCTACACTCAATACTTAGGCATAAGTGCTTTAAATCTCAATAAAGAGCATCTCATCTGGAAAGCATGATCTTGTTCAAGAGTATCTTGACTGCTGCTATTTGAGATGAGGGAGGAGAATTTCAGAAAGTAGGAAAAGATGGTTAAAAATATTTATGTTACCTTTAAGATATGCAAGGAATTTAAATAGCTATAAATACTGGTGCCATTATTACTTGGTATTTATTACTTACATAAAATACAAAAAGACTGATTTCTTAGGGAAAATTGAAGGTAAGGAAATTCATTTAAAATTACTGCAATATTCCAGGGAGCAGAGAGATGGTCCACCAGGTAGGTCATTTGCCATGCACAAGGCCACCTGGTGTGGAGACCCGGCATTGCATATGGTTTCCAGAGCCTGCAAAGAGCGATTTCTTAGCATAGAGCCAGGAGGATACTTCACACAGCATTAGGTATCACCTCAAAATCAGCCCACTCCCCAAATTTCTAAACAAGTATATTTTCTATTTTATAAATTCAAAGTTAAAAATTAAAAATAAAAATCTTTTGGGGCTGGAGTGATAGCACAGTGGGTAGGGCTTTTGCCTTGTACGCGGCTGACCCGGGATCAATTCCCAGCATCCCATATGGTCCCCTGGGCACCGCCAGGGGTAATTCCTGAGTGTATGAGCCAGGAGTAACCCCTGTGCATTGCCGGGTGTGACCCAAGAAGCAAAAAAAAAAATCTTTTTAAAAAATTTTTCCTTTTTCAAAAATTTTTTCTCATTTATTTTTAATATAATTGCATTAAATTTTCCCAAAGAATTTGCATATTCAGAAAAGTGTTCATCAAATTATGTTTCTCCTACTATCATAAAACATTCATGGGGAGCGACAATGCTTCTTTACCTCCAGTTTATTTCCTGAAGTATTGGGTTTCCAGTGAGAGATAATTCACGGAGAGAATAGCATGAATCAAACCAGCTTTTGGCACTTGAAAGATCTACCAAAAAAAGGACAATAAAAATAATTATAAAAGGTAACACAAAGAAAAACATATAAATCATTGACTATTGTATTTACTAGTTAGCTATTAAAAGCAAGAAAAACAATTTAAACTTTAAAATTCAATGATAAGAGATAATGTTTTAAGAATATAAACCATGACACATATGTATTTATGTATCCAGATACATAAATATTTTTACCCTGTAGCAGTTGTATTAATTATTAAAATAATACTACTTCTTTGTAATTCAGGTTTGCTAATCTTTATCCCATAGGATGATGACTGACATTGAGATAATGTGTGTAAGGGGCCTTAACAGCTCACACAGATTGTAAACCAAATTTAAAAAAAGTGAGATTATTTTTAAAAAGTTTTAAAACTAAGCAGACACCTAAAGAGAATTATATTGTTATCTTATACTTTCAAAAGTAAAAAAAAAACAGTAGGTCAGTTTATAAATATTATCCCTGGTAATTTACACCAGAATTGTTCTCACATAAAAAACATATTACTGAATGGGAAATAATATTCTTATTCAACACATAAGATAAAGACCTGATATCCAGGATATATAAAGTACTAACAAAAATCAACAACAACAAAAACCCACTGGGAGAGGAAATAAACAGATACTTCTCAGAGGAAGACAGGGGATGACCAAAAAGACATGAAAGAGTGCTCAGCATCACTTATTATTAGAGAATTTCAAATCAAGATGACAAAGATATCTTCTCACACCTGTGAGAATTGCACATATCAAAAATATTAGGGACAATCTGTGTTGTCAGGGATATGGTGAAAAAGAAATTCTCATTCACTGGTGGGAATTTTGTCTGGACAAATCCTGGGGAAAACAGTATGGAGAGCTCACAGGGAATTTAGAATTGAGCTGCCATATGACCCAGCAATTCCACTTTTGGGCATCAACCTCCAGGACAAAAAAACATTCATTCAAAAGGCCATATACACAGTTATTCATTGCAGCACTTAATGCAATAGCTAAGAAATGGAATCAACCTAGGTGCCCAACAAAAGATGCGGGATTGTGAAGATATGGTATATATAAAGGAATACTATGCAGCCTCAAAGAAAGATGAAATCATGCAATTTGCTGCAACTTTGTTGGAACTGAAAGACATCCATGGTGAGTGAAATAAGCTAGAAGGTCAACACAGAATAACTTCACTTATCAGTGGTGTAAAAAGTAACAGAAGAAAAAGGTCAAACACATGATGACCTCACTTATCAGTCACGACCACGATCACGACCATCCTGTTATTCGTCGATTGCCTTGAGCAGGCCCCAGTAACGTCTCCTTCATCCTAGCCCTGAGATTTTTAAGAAAGTGCCATATTCAAGGCTCTTTAGGAGAATGAGACCCATCACTGTTACTGGTATTTGGCATATTGGGTACGCCACGGGGAGTTTTCCAGACTCTGCCGTGTGGGTAGGTTACATTCGGTAGCCCGCCAGTATGTCCAAAGTAGGAATGAGATAATAAGATGTCCCACGGCCGCATTTGCTTCCGGGAGCTGGGTTTTTATAGTCTCTGAGTCTTGGCCATTGATGGGATGTCCATTAAAAATTTTTTCTTAAGTGAATAATCGTATTAGGGCACTCACTACAAATCAACAACAGGTAAATTCAGTAACAGAACAGCAAACTATAGTGGCTACAATACAAGAAAGAATAGAAAAGTACCTGCCAGAGAGGCGGGTTAGGGTGGCAGGAGGGAAACTGGGGACATCGGTGGTGGGAAATGTAAACCAGTGAAGGGATGGGTATTGAAACATTGTATAACTGAAACTCAATCATGAATAACTTTATAACTATCTATCTCCTGATGAGTCAATTAAGAAAAAGAAAAATGTGTAGTAGTAACAATGTATCAGTAAGGAATAACCAACCAACTAGCTTTAACATAAATTCTAAATCAAGAAAAAGTTCCCAAAGTGAAGTGAATGGAAAGACTACAATCAGTAAGCGAGATACTCACTTTTGACAATGGGGCGCTTTTTCTGGTGTAGGGGTGACAGTGTACTGCACCTGGTGGTGCTCAGGGGTTACTCCTTGCTGTGCTCAGGGGTCCTGGACATCAAACTTGAGCCTCCAGGAAACAAAGCATGTGCTCTAGCAAGCTGAGCTATTTCTCCAGCCCCAGACCAGATGGGGTAAGTCAGAGCACAGTCATTGAAAATAGAGAAGGAAAAGGACTGGAGCAATAGCATAACAGGTAGGGCGTTTGCCTTGCACACGGCCGACCTGGGTTCAATTCCCAGCATCCCATATGGTCCCCTGAGCACTGCCAGGAGTAATTCCTGAGTGCAGAGCCAGGAGTAACCCAAAAAACAATTTAAAAAAAAAGAGAGAAGGACAGAGATGAAACAGATACGGCTAAAAGGTGAGTACTACTTAATCTGTGTGTACTACGGGCAGGCAGATTACTTTATTATTCCATTCTCCTTTTGCTAACAGATTTGAACTTTGAACTTTTCTATGATAAAAATGTTAATAGAAAAAAAAGGGCAAGCAGGGTAACAGAATGTAATTCTGTTAAGTACAATCAGTTTTTATTTTTGAACAACCAGCAACCAAATTCTCATATATTCCTAGTCATTCAAAACAGAACACTGAGAGCTTAGTAATGTATAAAATAATTCAGTGAGAAAATGTAATATAGTAAAAGGGGAATCCTCGATCAGCCTTAGCCCTAGAGTATTAGGAGGAATAAGGACAGAGAAGGAAAGAAACCAAGGGGTGGGGGGGCGGTGGAGGAAGAAGTGAAAGGGAAGTAATGGGATAAAAGGAGTCAGGGCCCTGGATATACCTGTGAAGTGGAAGAGTGGTCTAGCTATCTATCTAAAGCACATACTCAATAACAATGAAGACACAAGATTTAAACAACCACAGGACTTTGAAATGTGTCTGTCAAGGTGGCAGGTGTGAGATTAGTGGGTGGGGGGGAGGGAACATGGAAATTCTAGTGGAGGGAAGTTGAGACCAATGCTGGGATTGGTGTCAAATTATGCATGCTTAAATCAATCAATAACTTTGCAAATCATAGATCTTTAAATAAATAACAGTTTTAAAAATGAAATAGAAGGGGTTGGAGTGATAGCACAGCAGGTAGGGTGTTTGCCTTACACGTGGCCGACCAGGGTTTGATTCCCAGCATCCCATATGGTCCCCCAGCACCATCAGGAGTAAATCCTGAGTGCAGAGCCAGGAGTAACCCCTGTCTGTGCATCACCGGATGTAACCCAAAAAGGAAAAAAAAAGAAATGGAAGATATGGGCCTAGCAGAAAAATAGGGCTCTTAACTCATCAGAGTACACATTCTTCTACAGTGCACGTGGGACACTTTCTAAGAGTTGACCACATAATGGGTCACAAAACAGCACTGTAACACTGTAGCACTGTTCTCCCATTGTTCATCAATTTCCTGGAGCGGGCACCAGTAATGTCTCCATTGTAGACTTGTTGTTACTGTTTTTGGCATATCAGATATGCCACGGGGAATTTGACAGGATCTGCTGTGCGGGTGGGAAACTCTTGGTAGCTTTCTGGGCTCTTCGGGGGGGGGAGGGGAGAAGGAATCGAACCCAGGTCAGCTGTGTGCAAGGCAAACACCCTACCCACTGTGCTATCGCTCAAGCCCATCACAAAACATATCTCCTTAAAATCAAATAAGTTATAAATTATATCAAATAACCTTCCAGATCATGAGGCTCTGAAAATTAAAATAAACCATAAACAGAAATGGGGGGAAAACTCAACACTAAAAATTAAACAATTCATAACTGAACAATCAGTTATATAATGAAGAAATAAAATTACTTCTGAAAACAAATGAAAATGAAGATTGAGTTATCAGAACATAAGGAACACAGCAAAAGTGAAGTTAAGAGGAAAGTTCACAGAATGCACGTGTTCACTAGGAAGCAAGAAAAGTCTCATATAAAGAACACAATAGTACAGTGTAGGGAGCTTGAAAAAGATCAACAAAAGGTATTCAAAACTAACAGAATAAAGGAAATAATAAAACTTAGAGAATAAATTAATAAAATAAAAACAAAATATAAAAATCAGTGAAATCAAGAGCTGATTCTGTAAAAGAAAAAACAAGATTGACTATTTTCAGTAAGGGTCACAAAGAAAGAACAAGAGAAAATCCTTCTGCCAAATCAGAAATGAAAGAATAGATATCAAAATAGATAGCACAGAAAGTAAAGTCTCATCATGAATTGATTACTTTGAAAATCTTGATGCCATTAGACTAGAGAACCTAGAAGAAATGGATACACTTTTGAACACCTATAACCTCCAAAGTTGAAACAAGAGTAAGCAGAGCACCTGGATAGGCCTGCTCGCTTCGGCAGCACATATACTAAAATTGGAACAATACAGAGAAGATTAGCATGGCCCCTGTGCAAGGATGACACGCAAATTTGTGAAGCGTTCCATATTTTTAAAAGAGACTCCAACAGAAACACTCCAAGACATATTATAGTTAGAATGATCGATGCTGCCGATAGAGACACAGTACTGCAAGCAGCAAGGGCAAAAAAGGAAATCACATACAAAGGAGCACCCCTGAGATTCACAGCAGACCTATCAGAGGAAACCCTACAAGCCCAAAGGCAGTGGCGAGATATAGTCAAAAAACTCACTGAAATGAATGCTTCACTGAGAATACTCTATCCGGCTAAACTCTCACTCAAAATCCAAGGAACGCTACACTATTTTCTAGATAAACAGTAGCTCAGGAACTTCATAGACTCAAAACCAAACCTAAAACAAGGCCTAAAGGGGCTACTATAAGACAAGGCAAATCCTACAACCACAGCACACCCGCACAGAAACATGACACAAAACCCCATAACCATACTCTCTCTCAATGTCAACGGTCTCAATTCACCATTTAAGAGACACAGAGTGGCAAAATGGATACAGAGACAGAACCCAACATTCTGCTGCCTACAAGAAACTCATCT